CTGACACTGCCAGATTCATCACACCATCCATCTTCGAGAAATACGACTCAGAAGAATGGCCAGTCTTCGACGAGTGGACGCTTTGCGAGCGACTGGGCTACGATGCTTGTGCCGATGTGCTGAAGCAACATTGGGATAGCTTCGTTTCATTGGACGACTTCTGGAAGATCAAGAACTCCGGCTTCAACGTCGTGCGCATTCCCGTCGGTTACTGGAGGTGAGACTTCGTACAATTCCATCATGCTACTCCACTAACGGCACACGCCATAGCTACGTGGAACCCTGGGGCCCTTACATTTCCGGTGCAGCATCCTACCTCGACGCCGCAATCGACTGGGCGCGCCAAACCGGTCTCAAGATCATCATCGACCTCCACGGCGCACCCAAATCCCAGAACGGCTTTGATCACAGCGGCCACACAGCATCTTGGCCATCATGGGGCGATGAGGAGAGCCTGAGCCACACACACGCTGCACTCAGTGTGATCTCACAAAAGTACGCAAAACCAGAGATGCAAGACGTCGTGATCGCCATCCAATTCCTCAACGAGCCTTTCCTATTGAAGCTCGATCGCGAGATGGTCAAACAGTTCTACAACGACGCGTATTGGAGCCTACGAGATATCAGCGACACACCCGCCATGATGCACGATGGCTTTGAAAACCCGTCTTGGCTGAACGGCTTCCTGACTACCAAGGATGGTGCGAGCAATGTGATTGTCGATCACCATGAGTACCAGATCTTTGGCGATGGTGTCAACGGCATGTCCATCGAACAACACATCGCTCTTGCGTGTAACTCTGTACGTTACAAGCTCTCTACAATCACACAGACTAACGCCTGCTAACCCCCTCCTTCCAGGTCACCAACTACGACAGCTCCGACAAATGGACCAGTAAGCCCCTCCCCTCTCTCCCATCCCCTCCTTACACTAACCCCCCACCCCAGTCGTAGGCGAATGGTCCGGCGCCTTCACAGACTGCGCCCCGCACCTCAACGGCTTCCACCTGGGCTCCCGCATGGAAGGCAGTTTCCCCGGCTCCTACTACATCGACACCTGCGCCGGCAAATCCGGACCCGTCTCCTTGTGGTCTCAAGACTGGAAGAACAGCGTACGTCGCTACATCGAGGTCCAGCTCGATGCGTATGAGGCCAAGACCAAAGGATGGATCTTTTGGAACTTCAAGACTGAGGGAGGGGCGGGTGAGTGGGATTTGTTTCAGTTGATTGATGGGGGTGTTTTCCCGCAGCCGTTGGAGAGTAGGTGGTTTGAGAGGGCTTGTACGAACTTTTGAGTGGTCGTGAGGGGCGTGGGAGGAGACGGGTGTAATGTTGTGATCGACGGGTGATGGGGTATGAGGTGGTACTTGTGTATGGGTATGTGGCATCTTAGTGGATATGTACTGACATCGCATGTTGATATGAAAAGTGATTCGGATATCGCTCCCGTCTTCTCCTAATACGTCACCCCTTTCCCGCACTCTCGTGATGGTCCTCTCCTAATTTTCGAAACATGAGTAGTGCCTCAACGTAACCGTAGATGCATCACCCACTCGCTAGCATCAGCCACGCGTTCACGCTAACTCCATGATATATAACCTGCTCCAGATCCCCACCAGGAAAAGACCGTATCCCGACATCCCTTTCCCTTCTCATATAAATAATTATATACCATCCAGATATCATGGTTGCATAGCAAATTCCGCGGAGCCAAACTCTCTCCGCCTGAGTCAGTTCGACCTATGGCTTCTGTCGGCACCTCCTGCAATCCTATATATATAACGCCACGACAAGAAATGTGTCATGCAATTCCGATTGGCACTCGCTAACCTCGTTGCGAGACATTCTGGATCCGACAACCCTGATGTACCCGGGCCAGTGTCATTTGTATGGCATCCTAGCATCCAGGTGGTTGCGCTGTGGGGTCATTCCACGAGGTACGACTGTGTGGAGCAACTCCTGCACGATGCGCACCTTATCGAGAGTCCGTAAGTTCTTCTGTTCGATAAAAAGGCGATTAAGCTAATAGCAACAGGTTTCTCCGAGCTGAGCGCGGTTTCTCCATGCCACTCGATGTATGTTGTGCGAGAAAGTCAAACGGCTCACAATGACAAGTCTCGCGGACAGACACTCTGTCGCGTTTTACTCTGCGCGTCGTTCCTATATATACACCCGGATTCTAGTGCGTTGGCCTATTGGCTTACGTTGGGGAACGCTGCTTGCGTCGACGTTCGATAGCTGGAGGAGTTTCCTGTCATTCAAATCACCAGATGAACATACTGTTCACGCCGTCAGCCAAGATTCAAGATCGACAGCCTACAGTCTTGACGTTCCTCCACGATGCGGTGCGTGCTGTCGTGGGCTCCGCTATTACGCCAGATGAAGTTATAGTGGGGACTCATATAGCTACGAAGACGTTGAGGCTGAGAAAGCGGGAAGAGAACATGCCCTATGTCATTCTCCCTCATTATCTATATATACGCGCACTCGCAAATTGACCTCCGCACTGCACAACTGTATGCGAAAACCGGTACGTATACCCATTCTATTCGATCGCCCGCGGATGCCAAACATGCTGGGCCTGTACGTTGAAAAGCGAAGACAACTAACACCTACCCAGATCATACGGTTATCGGCTCCACGATACAGAATGTACCGTTGAAGCGTGCGGTGCTGGGTTCACTGGGAAGACAGAGTGCCTCAATGGCCACCATTGGATGATTTTGTCCGTCGTGCGCGACTCGCCAACGAAACGTCACAATGTTGAGCAACAGGCGGCAGAATATTTACACCTGGCAAGTGTCCTTCGCGATTGCAGTCCTGCGATTCGCGAGAATATGCATGATCAACTGTGGACTTCCTCACCCACTGGTACTGCGACGACACAGCGACGAGGCGCACACGATTACCGCATCACTCAACCATCCCAAACACCAGTGTACTCTCAAATGCAAAGATCGCAACGAGAGACTTGCTTCAATACCGAATACTCGACGCGTGCTTTCCTCAGCACTCCATTACGAGAACAATATGCAAGTCCAACGCGCAAACTCTGCTCGTAAGAAAAATTGTCCTGCAAGGAGAAAGTTTCTGATACACAACCCTGCTGCGATCACAAAGTCCAGAACCGCACATCGTCATTTTCTCCTCTCCGCACACCCGTCATTTACTATTTTTGCGCCGTGCGCACCGGAAGACGTGGGCTTCCCCGCTCGCCTCGAGCACCACGGCCCTCCTCTTTGTCCGCATTGCGTGTCTATGTTGCGTGCTCGGATCTCCCGAATCTTATCGGACAGACGCTCGGAGAGGAGGGTTGATGGCGCATGTGAAGTTGTAATAGATAGGAGGAAATCCAACAGTTTAAAGTGTACGGAATTCCGTACGTGCAAGACGCGCAGCGAATAGAGGTCGCTCCCAATGCCGCACATGCTGACGTGAAGTACCGAGCCAATTGCCTCGGTTTCCACGGAATCTTAGTCGTTTAGTGCTGATTGCCGGTGCCGCGCTCGCTAGTTAGGGCCTGGGAACTGCAGCAACCAGCACAACGGTTTTGCGCCAAGGACTGGGTACCAATTTTGGGCTGTCACTGGGCAAGGCGTGGTCTTCACCCCTTCTTTTTTGATTCCAAGGCTGAGAGTCGATCTGCGTGGCCCTGTCTGGGTAACCAAATGCACAGACTGAGGTTGCGATCGCATCGTGCAAATTATAAGGCGGTGGTCAGAGAGCGTTGTGTTCGCCCCGTAACGCGTCCAAACTTCTTGGGCACGAACGTCGCAAGGAGGAGCCTAACTCCTTCGGGATATCGCGTTTGGGCACCGGCCGGCTAGTGCTACTGACATGCACCGAACCACGGTCGAAAATTTCGAGTCTGTCATCAAAGTTCATCAACTTGCTGTGCGCATATTCAACAAGCAGGTTGATGCTGGATTTCAATGATGACCTTGCTTCACGGGCCAGACCTTGGGCTGCTGGATGAGCTCCCCAAGATGCGACCTACGAAGTACCTCCTATCTGGCAATAAAGACGACTTTCACATGACGTCTGGTCCACGTCCGCGACCCGCATCGTTCATGCAAGGACAAGACTCCGTGGGGTCCTCGGCAGCTGCGTAATGCAGACGAAACGTGGGAGCACAGACGAAAAGTAATGGGAAACCTCGAAAACACGGTGCGAAATCCCAAAGTGTCAAAAAGCTGTTGCTGGATTTTAGAGTTTCGGACCGGTTTACGTCGCTTTGTTTGGCAAGCCCCAACAGCCCAAGGCGCCTCATTACCAACGGCTTTAACGCGAGCGCTCTGGGAAATTGAGCACATGTCATCGGATCGTAGTGGGAGTGTGTTCTGGACCTGCTCGCTAATGACTTACTCCACATTATTCTCCGACACATCCCAGCGATCATGTTTCGCATCACATGGGATGCCTTGGGTACTGATGGGTTCTGTCGTGAAGTGACGAGCATCGCAGCTGTCTCTATGGAAACGTTCGTGCATGGACGGAGTTCACTGACATCTGCAATATGCACTCCAACGGCTTTCTGAATGGTGAACCAGTCTTTCGTTCTTTGGTGTGCATGTAGCTAAGGCATAGGCGAAAAACACACCCCGGTCCTCGTCTTTCTGAGGTCATCGGATGCGAGTCCGAACCACAACATCGCCCCGCCTCAGCAGCATTGAGCCAATCAGGCCCTTTGCCGGACGACGCTGGACTATTGACCGAACGGCTCTGCATGGATCAACCGTTTTTCTGGCGTATTACGAAGATCGCCCCGCCTTGCTTTGCGACTGTTAGCGGGGCCGGAGGGACGCGCAGCTGTGTTTCCCAGTTTCAGCTGTATTTGTATCCCGTGGCGCCCGTGGTCAACACAACAACAACAATCGCAAAAAAGCAACTAGCATGCCCCTATCAACATAAACACCCTCGCGCGAACACCTCCTGAAACATTGAACTCTCTTCGGACCCAGGAATCGGAACTCAATCGAAATCAATCGCTTGCTGCCAGGATGTCGACTACCATTGGCGTGCCGTACGACGACCTTCGTCCGCATGTCCTGCGACAGAAGAAGTCGTTCTTCCAACGGCTGAACGAAACTCACGACCAGCTTCTTTCGCACATGCGGTCGTTGAAAGAGGATCCGGTGCTTTCGGTCAAGCAATCTGCGGAACGCACGAGGGCTTCATCGACAACATCGCTCACATCAGTGCCGGAGTCAGATCGGGAAAGCTCCCAGGACACTACACGATGCACCGAATTCGACCTCGAGACACCGATATCGAGCGGATTCCTGTCCCCACCCATCTCGCCCGTCGAAGGCAGCTTCTTCCCCATCCAGCAATTCCTAATGCCCATGGACCGCAAGCCCAGCAAAGAATTCATCCAAGGCATGCAAGGCTACGTCCACTGGAAGCAAGCAACCTACGAGTCCACGCTCAGCCCACCCATCTCCCCTCCCCAAACACCGCAAAGCAGCTACTCCTGGAGCTCCTCAAGAAGCACGCGCAGCGAGATGTCCGACGAGGAGATGGACGACTGGCTCGACCGGCCCATGGACGCAGACGTACATCGCTTCCGCAAGATCTCCGCCTCTTCGCTGGAAGAATCGTCAGACTCCGACAACGACGACGAGAAGAAGATCCACGTCATCCAAGAGCAGCCAGAAGACGAAGATGACAGCGCGTCCCGCGAAGAACGCCAGCACATCTCCGCTATGTGGCGGGAGACGTGGTGCATGCGCGACTCGCAGGCTGATATCTCGTTTGAAGACCAGATCGGCGAGATTGCGCCTGAAGCAACGCTGAAGGCTTCGCCGAGGTCGAACAAATCTAGGAACCGCGAATCCAGGTTATTGTCGCTACCGGATGGAGTGCTCCGCAACATTGCTCTTCATGTGCCGCAGGAGCACACGCAGCCTTTCCGGTTGAGCTGCGCGAAGTTCGATTCCCTTGTTCAAACACCACTGTGCTCTACTTGAGCTGTTCCAGAATTTTTCCTTTGTCATTTTTGTCATCGCGTCCGACGTTTGTCGAGATTGCTGTTATATACACCGCCCCGAATAGGGAGCTAGAGAGAAGCCGCAAGGCATCGTTGCATTACCGCATTTTCATTATTGTGAGCAGTTCGAAGTTTTGGCGAAAGAGTATCGCGTCGGAGATGGTGGGCCTGCCGATCTACATGAAGCGTCGAACGAAGACAGCATCGAGTGATGTTGCCATCGACGCAGTGGATTGGCTGGGCGGGTGCGATTCAAGTGTGGTATACAGATGGATATCATTGGATACATAATATTTATTAGTGTGAGCCATTAGATGGATGAGAGTTAGGGTATACATTAGACGAGACAGAGACAGAGACAGAGAAACATAAGAAAGACATTACCATCACCATCAAACTTCGCTCTTGCTTCACACCATCTCCTTCGCTTGTGGTCTCTGCTGATATGTCCTCCCACTCTCGTAGATGTCGTGTGAATGCATCGACTCAGTCACATCTACCTTTGTCGTCACGGTAATGTTGCCCATCCCGCCACTTCCATGTGCTTTGTTGTGCAACCGGGTGTCGCTCTCTGTGCTTCCTCGCTCTCCGCTCGTTGAGCTTCCCCCGGATGGACTTCTGCTTAGATCTCCAGCTTGCTTGTTCGTCGCATCGATTGTCGTGAGCATGTAAGACTTGCCAGCAGCGCTATGACCTGCATACTCGCCTTCTGATGTCTTGTTCGATGCAAGAGGACCGTAGCTTTTGACCGCAGAGCGCTGCTTTGTACCTTTTCCGTATGCGTCTGAGAAATATCGCGGTTGGGAGTTCTTGCGGGAGCCGCTGCCGTATGTGGATACGAGGATGGATCGGAAAAGCGGTTTGAGGCAGGGGAGGTTGCCGGCGACGATACCGACGTTGCATTCGACGACGGTCCAGATGGTCATGTCGCGCGAGTCCCAGAGAAGGTCGCCTTCCCGCCCGTAATGAGGAAGGTAGGATAGTTTGACCAAAGCGGCGACTGTAGCGAATGTACCAAGGCCGAGGATGCAGATGAGGGACGCTTTGTGACGGCGGTTCATTTGGACGCCCCACAGCATAGGAATCTACATGGATGTGTTAGCATAGTCAATGCAGTAGTCACGATCTGGAAGCACTTGCAGGTATGCCCACTGAGAAGGCAATATCGGTGATGATGTTCAGCACGATATTCAGGAAGCCCAGGGCTTGTCTCGTCTGGATGGTCCAGCATGTGCCTTTGGCGCTTTGATCCCACATGAGACTGAGGGGTTGGCATTGCGTGACGACTGTGAGGGCGCAGCCAACGGTGTAAACCGTCATGAAAACTAGGACTGGTTAGCTTCGCACATTGCTATCAGAGAGTTATGCACTCACCCATGATGCCGATAATCAAGCGCCTGTATAACCGTCCGACCGCAATCCGAAGGAGAAAGAACCCCACAGAGACCTTGACGAAACATATGGCGAACAGGAAAATCGGCTGCGAAATGAGGTTCAACCTCAGAGCGGCTACGAAGTCTTCCTTTTTGATGTAGTCGATGTGTTTTCCTGCCCCCATGTGAACCTGTGGTATGACGAGGCATTGACCAGCAATGCACTGCAGAGTGTTAGCAGTGTACGGTAATCCAAAGAACAGTCGTTTCATACCAATGTCATAGCCAACAGCATCACATAGTCCTGATCGCACAAAGTCAGTGTTGTTCACCCATGCCTTGTCAGCGGAGTACTCACGTCCCAACCAACATTCCTGATCATCTTAACTCGGACATAGAACCTCGCAATCGTCGTGAGCACGGCCACGACGGTGACGGTTAGCGTGCTCGCGAGGATGGTAGGACCCTGATCTTCGTAGGGTCGCATTGGTGGCATGGCTGCGCCGCTTTGCTGCATTGTGGGAAGCACGTCAATTGAAGGTGAAGGATTCCAGATCACGCAAGTTTTTCGATGTTCCAGCAAGATGCTTGCACTATATGCAATATAGTACCAGCGAGCGGGAGTTCGCGACGACGTCAGGGGTTTCACATGGCGTACGTCTTGAGACCAGCAGCTCCTGTCTGCAAGACCTTAAACCGCCACACGGAAGGACGGAGAGAATACAGTTAACGCGAACCTTGTTTTCTGGCATCTGCGATCCATCACGCGGCGCAAGAGGTCGGGCTCATCGAATCTGGTACCGAGCCATAACGACATGTGCTGGCGAGAAACCGTCTGGACTAGCCTCGCTACACCTGGAAGGAATGGTGGCTGTGGACGGCTGATTCGAGACGAAAGTATGGGTCTTTGCGTGGCAGACTGACGGGGCAGGAAATAGTATCCCTTGATTCAAGAGTACCCCTGCAGACGTAGAGTCTCAAGTGCAGGGTCTCGGGCACGGCGCTCGTAGGGTAATCTAAGTGCGGTCCTAAAGAACCTCGGGAGTTGCGACGGCACTGAGCTGTGGCTGAACGCCCAGTGTAGCGGCGCCTTACGACAGAAGTTCATGAGTTGAATGGCCATTGGAGATGTTCTTCGGGCTACCAGTTAGTGAAGATTATTGAACCTACCCGCAAAAAGCAGACAAAGATGCGTAACTGAGCTACCGGCCACGTGGGTATGAAGCCGCCAAGGTAAGGCAGCGAGGGAGTATCCAAAGTGCCGCATGAACCTCACTCTAGAAATCGTTAAAGCGAGTGATGAAGAGCTAGAAGCTGCATGTCATACCGTTTACTGCACATCTTCGAAACTAATTCCACTGCACTGTGCTAGTCTAGAGCACGGGCCTGTGGAGAACGATTTCGTCAATACGACCGAGCATTGATAGGAGAAGAGAGGAGTCCGCGGGTCAGGTTGGGTACATAGATGGTATCAGGCTACGAAGAGAAGGGCCGTTGCGGGAAAGTAGACGTGAGCAGATCCCCCGGGCCGCGTAGGCTATGCTTGAAGACCTCGTCTGCAGGTAAGCTCGAGAGTGTCCTGAGGCCATATTGCATCCCATCTACTGCAAACCGAGGCAGGACTGAAGAGAGCTGAGAGATCGGCTAATATCTGCTGCGCTTGTCGCTTCCAGGCGCCTTGTAAGGAAGGTCGTAACAGACGGCACGCTTCCAGAGACTCGAAAGGTGGCGCGTAAGCCAATGGCCGCTTCAGAATGGGGCCTCCCGTGCGGCTGCACGTTAGATTCGCAATCGAGATTAACCGGTAGCTTGGAGGCACTGGAGGCCTCACTGACCTTGCGCTCGGTGTGAATATGGAGTGGAGGAAGCGGGACGGGGAGTCGGCAAGACGGATCTCATCCCTTAGCGTGGCCTAGCGCCATGGCATGATTGCGCCACCAATGTGCAGCGGCATAGAATGCTTAGCAGTCTTCACCTAACACGCACGATATCCGAGCCACCAGGCCCGATGCAGGCTCCTGAATCATGGAAGGATCAGTACACTTTTCAGGGACTTCTCGTACGGAGTACACCACATGGCTTGCCGCCAGGAAGAATATTTCCTCTCCTGCACGTGGGCGGGTCGCGGCTATTATGCAGGTCTCGGACGTGATGACCTGCAGACGTGGAACAGACTGGTATCAGGGCATCCTCGGCAGGAAAAGACAGATGTACGGATATGACCGAGGTAGACTTGTCGAACTACCTGTTGTATGGGTAACTAACGATTGCGGAGCTCATACATTACTCGCAGCCGGCATGATTCAGAATGCTGCGCGCCCATCATGTTCCCGCGCATCAACTTTGGGTCTTTATCCAAACGACGCTAGGCCCATGGCCATCCGAAGACCGGGCAGCCTTGACATGACACTATGGGTACATCGGCGCCATATGAGTTGTCCGGCAAGCTACTTCCGATCTTGCCATGCACATGTCGCCGAACGATGGCTCTTCGTATGGACTCGCTTGAGGAGACGACCCGGTTCATAGGTAGCCCGCCAATCTAGCCTCAGGGTCCTTGCGCTCAGGGCATGAGTATAGTCGGAGATGGGTAGGCACAGGCTCCAGGCACCGAAAAACTATTGGCCCCACACGTGGCATCGCCTTGCCTTGCTCCAATTCTTCGCCAGCAGACGGAGATAGCAAGACTAGATGCGGTGTACAGCACTGTTCCAGCAAGGTCGTGGTGGCTTCGGCATGTACTCGCCACCAACCCCGGCAGTGAGCATGGCAAGCTCAATCGGTAGCGGTCTGTGGTCATCTCTTCGAGGTATATGTATAGGAGCGGCACGTTTTTCTTTTGCTCATCAGCACTCAGCTTCTTCTGCTAAACAAGCCACTTCCTGATCCATCAGTTCCATTGGTCAACAGACAAGATGCGTTTCAACTCCCCCATTGCACTGGCCCTGCTCGCTGGAACTCTATCACACGCGCTACCAGCTCCACAAGATGCGCCGATAGACCCCTCTTCGCTACCAACTGCTCCCTCGAGCGATCCTTCTGTCGCCAGCGATCAACTTGAGCAATTGGCTCTGTTCGCTCAGCAACAAGTCGAGGAAGCACTTGCAGCAACTTCGTCCAAGCGAGCCGCTTGCACCTGGAACAATGTGTCGGTACGCAAAGAATGGAGCGCCCTGACGAAGCCGGAACGCAAAGCCTACACCGATGCCGTACTCTGCCTCCAAAAGAAGAAGGCCAACACGCCTGCTTCACTCATCCCAGGAGCAAAGTCTCGCTTCGATGACTTTGTCGGCAACCACATCCTGAAGACCATGGAGATCCACTACACTGGTACCTTCCTGGCGTGGCACAGGTACTTCACCTGGCAGTACGAGCAAGCCCTCAAGAACGAGTGCGGCTACAAGGGCACTCAGCCCTACTGGGACTGGGCCAAGACTGCTGCTAGCGGTCTCGAGAAGTCGGCTATGCTCGACGGATCTGCCTCTTCCATGTCCGGCAATGGAAAGTTCATTCCCGGCCAGGGACAAGTTGTCATTGCAGGCAGGGGCGAACCATACATCTACATCCCCGCCGGTACCGGTGGTGGCTGTGTTACGAGCGGTCCATTCAAGGACATGAGTAAGTACCCAGTACAAACCCTGGATATTTAGTCAGATACTAACAATCATTCCAGAGGTCAACCTTGGCCCCGTCGCTCTGAGCACAACCAACGGAACTGAGATCGCAAACGGCGACGGCCTCTCCTACAACCCCAGATGCCTGACGCGCGACTTGACCGACTACAGCAATAAGAAGTGGGCCAACGCGACCGCCATCGCCGACCTCATCATCAACAAGAAAGACATCTGGCAATTCGAGATGGTCATGCAGGGTGTGCCAGGAACAGACAGCCTGGGTGTCCACGGCGGTGGTCACTACTCCATGGGCGGTGACCCCGGCCGCGACTTCTTCGTCTCGCCTGGTGACCCGCTCTTCTACCTCCACCACGCTCAGATTGACAGGACTTGGTGGATCTGGCAGCAGCTCGACCGCAAGGCGCGCACGAGCGAGGCTGGCGGTATCTCGGGTACTGGCACCTTTTTGAACATGCCCCCCTCGGCCAACACAACCTTTGACACGACTATCAACCTTGGCTATGCTGCGGATGGAACAGAGAGGATGGAGGATCTGATGAGCACGACTGAGGGACCTTTCTGCTACATCTACGTATAGGCTTGAATGACCATTATGACACGCATGTATGCGACTGTATATACAAAATAATTAGTAATTAGACATGAAACCAGTAAGACCATCATCAGTTCGCCTGTCGCTGTATGACAGCTCTCAGATACGCAGTAAACGCATTAGACGGCATAAAACAGCACCTTCCACCGCCACAACCTCGCGCATCCAACCAACACACCACCACATGCCATACAAGCACCCGCCACCTTCATCGCAATCTGCCCACCCCGCTCACTCCCCTCAATCAACGCCGCAGCCCCAACAACACCACCAAAAGCAGCCAACCCCGCCAACGCCATACCAACAGCAACCCGTGCGGGCATATCATCCTCCCACCTCCCATCTACCTTCCTACTAAGAAACGACGCCACAACAACCATATGCAGCGAAAACACCACTCCAAGCGCAACTCCGTACAACGCTGCAAGGGGAAGCACAATATAAAGTTTTGGGTAGAAGACGGGCGCAAGACAAACCGCACCCCCCAGCACCGCCGCAGCAACAAATGTATTCACCGGCCCAACCCGCCTCAACGCATATATGTTGGCAACGGCGGGACCGGAGATAGCGGCCACGCTCAGCATAGTAAGGGCACCGTATGTCGCTGTATCCGGGAAGAAGAGGCCAGGCGGTTGCGTCAGCAGTACGATGCTGTAGAAGGGGTATATGAGGATTCCTGAGAAGACTAGCATGTAACCGAGGAGAAACCACATTCCACCTCCCTTTAAATCGTTGAGAAAGTGTTTGGGCAGACAGAGACAAATTGTATGTCCGTTCATCCATTCCTTCTCCTTCTGTGGATCGAGGCGAGCGAGAAGGAAGAATGCGGTGAGCAGTGTGGCAGCTGTTACGGCGCCGGTGTAGAGATGTAGGCGCGCCGCGTTACCATCTTCACTGTTTTCGTAGGCAAATCTGGATAGAGCGGTATACACGGCCGCCCCTGCGAACCCCGCAAACCCACTCTGTACAGATACCAGCGGAACGTCGTTTCTGTAGTGACCTGCGAGGACGAGGCTGCTAATCGTAAAACACGCTCCCAGTGCGGTGCCTAGAACGGGTCCTTGCAACACCACCACAGCGGCATAACTCTGCGTTGCATACAACGAGAACTGTGCCGCAACCGCTACGAGTATGCTTATTCCAAACAAGACTCTCCAGCCCCAAGGTCGGGCACCGGAGTCGATTATACAGCGGCGGTATAGATACCCGATTGGCAACGGCGCGGCGAAGAGGAAGAGGAGTTGTAGACTCGGTATGATGGCTAGACCAAGCACCGAACGCCTAGGGAATACCGTTGTAAAGTGGTGTTCCAGCGTCGTGCCATACGACAAGGGCGTTCCAATAACGTTGAAGAGAACAAGGGCTTGGGCCCACATGCTTTATTGAGTCGGTCAGCGCAGTTCCAAGTCTTTGATATGCGGAGAAGGGGGCAGGGAGGGAGGGAGGGAGAGGCTTACGATCGGTTTCGCTGTCTAGGCGCTGGCTCGCGAGACGGGGGTGAGGAGGAACGATGACGTGTAGGGGCTGCTGGTCTGTTGGAAGGATTCCATTTTGAGACTGCAGCTGGGATGCCGAAGTTGCCTTGTTGGACGGCGGAGAAGCTGGGGGGTTCGAGGGGTTGGGGTTGGCGACGAGACATTGCGGTGGCACTTCGGGCTGCGTGGTCAAGATGTGATATGGTAAGTGATGTGCGAAGCTGGAGCGACTTCGGTAGTGTCTGGTAGTGAAGTGTGGAGACATGAACGGATCTGCTTGACGTGCAAACGAGGGCGCCGAGTGCAATTGACTGGTATGTGGTTGGTTCTGTTGGTAGGCTTGTCAAACGCTTCAGCGGTATGTCAATGCTGTCGTGATCATATCCTTGAAGTAGGAGTCGATGGCGATGATGCACTGCAAACAACCACGCTGTCACAAGAGTGCTAGTACATCTGTGGACAAGCGAGGAAATCTCATATTCAATCTTCCTATACCACATTAGTTCCGATAGAAACCTGGTCCATCCAATATCATCCCGCAATCTACACGTCGTAATAACGAACCCAAAAACAACCCAAAAACGCCAGGGGCGCAATCCTCGCACCCACCCCTTCCATCCATCCCATCTTTCCCACTACCCCATCTAGAAAATCGAATTGACAATATTTCCACCAATCGTAGCACCCGCACCAAAAATCGCCGCATTCCCCAACTTCTTACCAAACTTCTTTCCATTCTGCTCCATCTTACTCGGCTCACCCGCCGGCTGCACCTGTCCTCCCTGCTGCGCACCACTCGCAACATCCAACGGCATGTTACCGTAGTTACTCGGTGCAGGCGCCGCATTGTAAGCAGGAACAACGCTCTTCTCCTCTTTGCGGACGTAGCTAGCAGGGAAGATACCCTCCATACCCGTGCGCTCGTTGCGTCCCTTCCACCACTCGTTGTTCATGTACTCCGTCACGACGACTTTGTCGTTGGGCATAAGCGCGAGATCACCCGCGTCTTGCGCGTTGTACTGGTACATTGCTGAGGCGTGGGCGAGGACGGGGGGACCGGCGGGTGTGGCGGGGACGGAGGGGTAGGCTGGGGGTGGTGCGTTGGTGGGGGTGTCGGCGTAGTAGCCGATGTTTGCTGGGTTCTTCTTCTCGGGGGGAGGCGTGGGCTCGCTCTGGATGTTCATCGCAGAGAGTTGGGCGGAGGGCACGGCGGGGAGGGCGCGCGCGCTGTTTTCCGCTGAGACGGGGAGTTGGGATGCGATGGTGTCGTGTTGCGCTGGGGTGAGGACGTTGGACTCGACGAGGAATTCGAGGTTCTGCTCATATCGTTAGGATCATGTGATATTCAGGAGCTGGGGCAAGCTTACGTTCTTGATGTCGCGGAGAGACCGGTTGATCATCGCGTTTCTGAAGCTGTCCGCCATGATGATGTGTGTTTTGGGTTTCTCTGTCGCGTGTAATGCGCAAGTATCCGTGGTATGAAGACGCTCAGGCAGATTGTAAGGAGAAGTCGGTCAGAGAATGCGCGACGGGAGTTGGTGAGACGGGGTGGAGTTGATACGGGCGGGAGCACGCCTAGCACCCACACCACTCGGAACGTCTGCGCCGCATTGGGGCTGTGCGCGTGTTGGCTGCGCAACTGCCCCGACTTTATTTATTGAATGAAACAGCCATTGATCTTACTAGGATCGCATCTGATGGCATTGTTTCTTTTGCGATCACTTGCTCATAGCAAAAGATGGTTTTCTCAACGACACATCTCCTTGCGCGTCCCATCAGGGTCCAAATGTGGCTTGAATTTCTAGGTATCAACAGGCCCCACTCTGCCATCCATCCATCCATCCATACACATACTAGCCCTTGAATCCTCGACATCTACTTCTCCGACAAAAAAATCTGCCTATACATCTCCTGCCTCTTATTCTCAAACGCATCAAACGCCTTGCCCACAAACCCCACAGGAATCTGCTCCTTCCCCTCCACCAACCCCTTCCACGCCTCCTCCGTGAACTCCGCTAGCGGCATACCAATATTACCCCCGTCCTTGATATCAGGCTGGTGCTTCTCGTCATGCAACTCTGTTTGCACCGCAGGCGGGAAGATCTCAATGACCTTGATGTTGCCCGGGCCATTGCCTAGCTGGTGCCGGAGCACGAGGATCATGTGGTGCAGTGCGGCTTTGGAAGCGCAGTAGTTTGGACAGCGGGGCAGGGGCATGAGTGCGAGGCCGGAGGTTGTGTAGATGAGGCTGGTTTCTTTTTCTTGTTTCTGCAGGAAGGGTGTGAATGCTGTGGTGAGGTGCATGTAGGATAGGTAATTCGTCCTAAACTCCATTTCTAGCAAGTCCAAATCCACGGTCTCGGGCTTGGAGAAGTCGAAACCGCGCTGGATGCCCGAGTTGAGGAAGATGGAGTCCAGGTCCGGGTGCGCGCTTGTTACATCTTTGACGAACTTGGGGATCTCGTCTAGCTTGGTGATGTCGAAGGCGTAGGTCGAGACTTTGTCGCTGCCGTGCGCCTTTTGGAATTCATCGAGCTTTTCTTGTCGGCGGCCGACGATGATGGCGTGTTTGCCGTCTTGGACTATCTTCTCGGCGAGCGCCCAGCCGATGCCGGAGGTTGCGCCTAGTACGAGGACTTTGTTGTATTTGAGAGACATGATGTGGTTTTGATATGAATGTTTCGTTGATAGGTAGGTATGGAAATCGACCGGGAAGAGGCGTCTTTATAGCGAAGCTGTAGTGTTCATGGAAACATCATCAACGCCGCCACCAGCCAATCTCTACCCTGGCTCGATAACTACTGTTAGCCCCATCACAGCAAGATCTCGGTGGTATCGGAGTTTAAACGCGACGGATGCTGCTGCGTGGTGTGCGAGAATTCTAGAACGTATACGTCATGGTGAAGATGTGGATCGGTGCTCGGGGCTCGGCAGTTGCGACGGAGGTACCTGAGCAGGCCATAGCGTCCTCTGTACAACAGGCGAAGAACGACACAAAGTGAATGTTGGCATGATGTTATAGATTGAGTTTTTTATTGATGCTATGTCTAGCAACTGGGGTATCAAATTATGTTATTAAGTATCGCCGTCCCACCCTCTTCACGCAAGCATTATGCGCAAAGAAACCTGCGCATCCAAGCATTACCCTTCTCCTCATCCGCATCCCTAGTCAACTGACTATTCGCACGCGAAACATTGACAAACTTCGGCCATGTGTTGGTGAGAACAAGGTACTTGATCTCCTTCTCGGCAGCATCAAACACGAGCTCATTGAACGCATCCGGCACCTCGACATCGGCAACAGACTCGTCGTCGTACAGCTCGCCCATGCGGGACACGGCTCTGAGGTTTGCGCGTCCGAGCTTGTCGAGGCTAATGGCGTTGGGAGATAGGTGGTTGCTTTTGGCGGAGACGTTGATGGGCAGATCGGAGGCGTCATCGGGCATGACGTTGTCGAAGGGTGTGGCGTCGCTGACGGAAGACGACTCGGAGTTGCGGCGGCGGCCGAAGAGGAGGTTTGCGGTCCTCTCAAAGACCATGTGGAGGAGCTTCATCTCTTTGGATGAAATGTTGATAGGAAATTCGGAAAACTCGAGAGAGATGAAGTGAGCGTAGATGCGCGTGGCAGCGAGGAACTGCCTGCGGCGGTGTTCGGCGATGGATGCCTTGGGTGAGAACCAGTAGAGACGCCAGTCGGCGACGTGGGTGAGGAAGCTGACGTTTTCGCCTGTTGGATGTAGTCAGTATACGTTCGTGCAGTAGTTGGATGTGAAAGACTTACCAGAGAAATCCTTCAAAGCAGCAAACTGGAGCAGTGGCATGGCATTGGTCCTGAGTGCGTTCTCTAGGGCAGTCATGGTCAGGATGTCGGACTTTTGCGAGTCGAATGACTGGAATGACTGGTTGCCGATGCTGACCTCCCCGCCAGACTTGAGTGTGGTGGTGTTCGAGTATTCACTGGTGCTCTTGACGTCGATGGAGGCTGCGTCCAAGCCTGAAGATTTCTGGCGAGCTTCCCAGTTTGCGATTGCGTCAAGGGTCTCCTGGCGGAGTTTGTTGCCTTTGAGTACGTCGATGATAGGAAAGCCAATGCTGGTAATCTCCATGATGCAGAAGCAGACCGAGAACCACACAGGTGGAGGGAAGACGGCGTTCATGGGAGCAAATGCCGGAGTGTAGAGACCGATGAGCCAGAGCGGAGATGCGGGAAGCCTGCGGGAGTCAGTGACGAACGCGAATAAGCAATTCTTAGTACATACCCAGCAACACAGCAGATGATGGTCTGCAGACGCCAACCGTGCACATCGCGGATGCCGCGAGACTTGAAGAGAATCCAAGGCGCGTATACCCAGGACCAGAACAGCTGCCACACGATCGATAGCCACCATTCCCAGCCCTTGCTGCACTTCATGCGCACTTCCATGCCAGTGCCTACAACGGTGTAGTCGATGATACCGAAGCCACTGTGGAACTTGCGAGATGCGAAGTAGACAAAGAGTGTGAGGGCCATCTAGGCTATGGGTTAGCTTATATGAGTAGTAGCTGTAGGGGGGTGCTCACCTGAACAGCCATGCCAATGCCGATGAAAATCAATGTTCGCTCGATATTGTCGGCGCGCTCCATTCCATTCATGATCCTCTTCCAGCGGCTGTTGACGACCTCTTGAGCCTTTTTCTCATCGATGGGTTCGTGGTCCTTCAATGAGCTCATCCGAGCAAAGTGCTTCTGGCGAGCAGCAAGGTGCAAGAACTGACTGTTCGAGGCATGGAACAGGGCCATTCCTAAGGGCACAAGAATCGACATCGCCCAGAATTCGACCGAGCAAGGAAATACAGCGCCGAATGGGTAGGCTAGGAATATCAAGTCAGCAAATGCTCGGTGTTGGCAGATCCACGGAATGCCAAAGCAAACTTGGAAGTAGTAGGTGTGGGCGTACGTACATAGCGTGCAGAGGGCACCATAGATGTGCAGGACGGAAACACCAGCGAACAAAAGCGGCAGCCTTCGCATGCGCAGCGATGGGTGTTGGCGATGAGTCCATAGGAAAGCGAATCCAGACAGCAGTGAGAGATTCCAAAGAATGAAGATGGTGATGTACGTCCAGCCAACGCCGTCGAGGACAAGGAGTGGGTTCACCATGGTGTCGGTAGGGCAATGTTCAAAGAGCGTGATGAGTACTGAAGCTCGTTCGACGACACTGGTATCGTGAAGTTGGCAGACGCCTCCAACCTTATACAGACCGCCTCAGGCGTTGGAAGTTAATGAAAGAATCGGCGAGACGACAGGGCAAGAGGGTTCGCGGCATGGTGCAGGGTGCGAAGATCGACATTCTCTCCCGAAGATTCATCTTGGACGCGGGAGATGTGCCAGGGTGCGCGATGTCGATAAAGTTGTCAGTGTGCACCTGTCAGCAAACGAAGTGCCGCTAGCTTCCACCGGATCGTAAGCCAGCGTCGGATACGGCTTCGCTCTATGCTCAATAGGCTAGTCTACGATCTGTCAACTGGGCATCCTGGAGAATTCCGTGGATCGTCATTTAATCGCCCAATACCCCAGGATCACATCCCTTCCATATGATGCGTCCTTGCTTTCGTACGGTTGGGCGTGAAACACCTGGTTGGTGTGCCTGATGTTTTGTTTTTCTGCTCAGATGCCGACTTCTCGGAGAGATTGCCACCCTGCATACACAATTGTCGCGCGGAGAAAGGGTAACACAGCCACATCAAAGGCTGCGAATTCTGTCCTCGCTCTGGTTGCCATTCCGCGCGGTCGCGTCGATCTCAGGAACATGAGTTCGCCGACCTCTAACCGAGCCAGAACGCCGACGTTTCTGGACGACCTATGCCGAATAGCTAGTTACACTCGTCATCAGTATGACTCGCCTCCTGGCAGCTGGCTCTCCCTGGCTGGCGTCCTCTATCCGGGTGCGCGGGTGTCCGGCCACGATGGATTTCACGGGAGGGCTCTTGTCACTTGGTCCAAGCGCCGAATCACACCAATGCCGCTGTCGCGCAGCGTGTCTGCTGTAGTTCCTGACGATCTTAAGCAATCCGATAGAACGATAAAGCCAGCCTATGGAGAATGGGGCGCGGATGCCAATGATTCGATAGTCGAGTTGATAAAGCGATTAGCTAAATACCACAACTGACCTAGACGATCGTCAGGGACAGCGAGCGATTCCTTAAGCACGTAATCGAACGACGTCCTGTCACTATGCAAGACGGCACTTGAGCACGTGTGTGTAGCTATGTTGAGCCGAGCTGCTGAACGTAAGTCGGCACGATAGGGTTGAGAAGCGCCGTTCCGCGAGTCCAGGCTATCCAGCCTCGTAACAAGGCACTTTGAGTGAGGCGACAAGAATCATGGCTGTTCAGCGGCGGACAGGCTTCAGAGATTTCAAGCATCCGCTCACATGACCCCAGGCGGTTGGTGTGTAGGCAAGGGAGGGAGCGGTACGTCGGTTGCGAGCCTCGAAGGACGCCAAGTGGTCCAGACTCTTTGGTTCACTAACGAAGTGTGCAGGTTTTTGGGCGTAGGTCCCGTTCGTATCCTCGACGGAGTTCATCGCTGAGAGTCTGCATGCGGGTAGGTCCTTCAGCTGCGGAGATGTTTGATCCCGTTGTATTGCTATGAGGTAGCTGCTCGCCTCTCGTGTACATAGCCACGATCGCCATGTGGTAGCATGGCAACATCCGCGCCTGCAGTCTCCCCGCTCAGGGGGCCTGTCCCAGTCTATGATTCTGCAGCGCGGGAATAACGGAAAGGGAAGATCCGGTGCGTCTAAGGGTTATGCGTTATGGCGTCTGCTCAGCCATTGAGTAGTCACTTCATACCGATACATTGAATTTGCTAAACGTCGTCAATGAGTACGCTTGCTAAGACATTGGCAGAGATGCGTGTCTGTGAGTGAAGCAAAGGACATCAGTGACTCCGGGCCGAGCGTGGTGTTTCGTTGAGGAAGTGTCGAGGAGGGGGAAATTGGGCACGAGTGCAGAAGAGGAGAGGCGTCGGCGTTTCGTGTTTCGCATGTCGCATGACGGCAGCCTCGCCCCGCGCAGGTGGGGCATGACTCGCGCCATGGGATTTTCTCCCCGCCATGCATTCGCGTCACTCTTGGGCTTACGCACACCACGCCCAGACATCACGCCCGAATATGCCGCCCTCACCCTGCGCACTGTGCAAGGTGAATCGGGCACTCATACTGCGCCCCAAAGATCACTCCAAGCTGTGCAAGACGTGCTTCATCTCCGTCTTTGAAACGGAAATTCACCACACCATCACCACAAACTCGCTTTTCCAGCGCGGCGAAAAGGTCGCCATCGGCGCATCGGGTGGAAAAGACAGCACTGTCCTCGCTTCTGTGCTCAAGACACTCAATGAGCGCTACGACTATGGCCTTGATCTCATCCTCCTGTCAATCGACGAGGGCATCAAAGGCTACCGAGATGATAGTCTGGAGACGGTGAAGAGGAACGCGGAGCAGTATAGCATGGACTTGACCATTCTGGGATATGCAGAACTGTACGGGTGGACAATGGACCAAGTGGTGGAGCAGGTGGGCAAGAAGGGCAACTGCACCTACTGTGGCGTCTTCAGGCGGCAAGCGCTTGATCGTGGGGCGTCGAGGCTTGGAGTCAAGCATGTAGTGACGGGACACAATGCGGATGACGTCGCCGAGACGGTACTAATGAACTGTAAGTACTGCCTTCAGCGCTCAATTTCTACAGAAAACTAATTAGAACAGTGCTTAGAGGCGACCTGCCTCGTCTGTCGCGGACCACTTCCATCATCACATCTACGCCCTCCGCGTCGTCGGATCCTGCTTCGAATACCAATATCAAGCGTAGCAAGCCTCTGAAGTACGCATACGAGAAAGAGATCGTCCTCTACGCCCACCACAAGAGTCTCGACTACTTCAGTACAGAATGCATATACTCGCCTGAAGCCTTCCGCGGCAGTGCACGTGCTCTTATCAAGAATCTCGAGAGAGTGCGACCCAGCGCCATCCTCGATGTGGTCAGGAGCGGCGAGGATATGGCAAAGCTTGTGCCGGGTAGCGACGAAGGCTGCGGAGGTGCTTGCGCGAGCAACGTACCTGTGGCTGAAGAGGAGGAAGGCGGATGCGGAAGTGCCCAAGGGCGCAGCACAGGTGGCGAGATGGCTAGCGTCGAGGCCCAACTCAGGCAGAACGAAGCAGCCGTCGACGGTAACCTCGAGACCGAGATCACCACCAAGAGTGTCAATGGTAGTGGGCAGCAGAGCAACGGCGCGGTACCACTAGCGAACGGAAAGAAGGTCAAGAAGGGCTTCACACCCAAGAAGGCGAGCAAGCAGGTCATGGGCCAGTGCAAGAAGTGCGGATACCTCTCGAGCCAGGAAGTCTGCAAGGCCTGCGTCTTGCTTGAAGGTCTCAACAAAGCACGCCCGAAGAATAAGATCGAAGTCGGCTACGAGGTTCAAGATGTCAGCTTGAACAGCGTTCGAGACGAGCTTGAAGCAACGACGATAGGAGGAGAGTGAGGAAACCGCCAACGATGCGTTCTACGACTACGCCTATCGCGCAAGTTGCCATCACGGCATCAGTTCGGCCACAACAATCGACCGACACATTCACGATCAGAAGGACAAGTCTATGCGACAACGCACCGATAGCTTGCACAACACCAACGTCATGAATGCGGGAGTGCTTCCCTCTCAATGGGTCGGCACATCTTAGGTAACATTCACACCGAAGCCTCGGTCGACATGGTCGGTGTGCGCTACAAGAGCTCGTGGTTGAAAGGTCGGTGAGACAACCCCGGGCGATGGCAGCGTGACCTGTCAGGCCAAGACCGGTGTCTCAGTCACACGAGAGTCAACACTCCACTACCCCGCACGAATGATCTCGCACCCGCATCCGCCCCGTCATACCTCGAGCTGTGACCATACTTAATTTGCACGACATCGGTGCGGTTGCGTTCGGGCTTGGTGGGTGCGTGGTACGTACCAATCTTGGTCTGTACCTTTGTACTTCTCATGCTGTAGTGTTGCGCCGTGTTATCAAGCCCTCATACCGTCCAATTCCCGACATCACAGCACGTATTCTGCATACAATGAGATGATCCATCAATACGGCAACGTACGATGATCAACATCATGCGTCGAGTTGGTGTTGCAAGCCGATGAATTCAGGATACGTGCTGTGATGTCGGAAATTGGACGGTATGAGGATCTGATGACACGGCAGTCATGCTGAAAGCTTTAGAAAGCATATTGCAATAGTACAAGGACCAATATATTGATAAGAAAATAAAGAATAGAGAGTTGCCCTCCAAGAGCCCTCCCATGGTATCTCAAGAACCCGTTCCCTGAATACAATCCCATGCACATATCCAATCAAACACCCATGAACGCCATGTCTACATGCAAACCGCTTGCAATGAAGATCCAATCCAACACTCTATCCAACTAAACAACAAGATGCCACCTCCGTGGAGATAAACCCGTAAATGAAACCTAAATGTCAAAGATCCAACAACACATACACTCAGCCGTCCCAGTCTCTACAACTCAAACCCAAACTCGCCATCCATCTTCCACGGCCCATCAACCGTAACAGCACCCTTCTCGCTGTCAAAGTTACCAGTAGCACCAGGCTTGTCCTGGCCCAGCACAACAACCTGGGCAACAGTAACGCTCTCCTCATTCGCGCCAGCATAGCCAAAAGAGCCCGTAGCGCTGAACTTGGCGCCGTCGTACGAGAACGAAATCTCGCTCATAGCAGGCTGATCCAGACTCTCGCCGTCGTCAAGGTACAGCCGTCCCGTCGCCTTACCATCCGCATCCGGCGCGACGATGATTAGGAAATCTTCCTTGCGCAGCGCCTTTGTGGTATTGGCGCTGTTGACACGCTGGGGTACGATGGAGCCGCCGCGGATGTGCACGGGGATGTCGCTGTAGCCCAGACCACTACGCGTGACGTTCTTGCCCTCGCCTTCGACCTTGGCGTACGTCCAGTAGTCGTAGAACGTGTCTTGGGGCAGGTAAAAAGTGACAGTGTCGGAGTAGTCCGTTACAACGGGTGAGATGAGCAGGGCGTCGCCGTAGAACCATTGCAGGTCGATGCCAAAGGTATTCGCGTCTTCGGGGTAGAGGAAGAA